TTCTTTGTCTCCCTGGATTTTGCTGTTTCCTCAAGCCTTCGATTTCTCAATTGCCTTTGTTTGGGAGCATTTGGCTGTAGATATATGCAGTTAACTGGCTTTGGTTCAGGATGTACTTTAGTCATTTTCTGACTGGATTTCTTACCTCTTAGACTCCAGTGAGATTCTCTCTTGGCCGATTCAGAACAGCTTTGATTTAAGCTCATCTGTGGATTTCATATGTAGACTGCTGGCACTTTCTGAATTTAAAATGAATTTGTTCATTGATACTGAACGTTTTACAGAGCTTAGTTAGTTCACTTGGCTTGAGTTTTGTTTTAATGAAATACACTTGGAGGATTCATTCCCCAGGAGGGCTAGTTAGCTTCATTGTACTCCCAGCAGAAGTCTGAGTTTCCAGCCCCTGGAGGCAAACTCTGTCATAAACTTTGTTGCAGACTGAGCCCCAGAGCCTGGTCATTGACAGAGCTCCTGAATATTTAGTATTAAACTGTCTCTTTCATTATATAACATATATACACTTGAGCCATGAAGAGGCAAAGAAGACCAAAGATCAATCTGAACTTGGTGAGACAATGTCTGCCAACTAGAACTAAGAACACATGCACTGTGTCAATATGAAAATGTAAACTTTTGATGAGATATTCTTTTTAACTAAAGAAAACTCCATGTTAAAACATGAATGCATGCAACTGAATATACTTGTTAATTTTTTCTCAATGTGTGTTTTACTCTTGCGAAGATAGCACTTTAATCCTAAATGAGCATGTAAGGTGTGACAGATCCTGTATCAGTTTTAATAACTGAAGCAAGTAGTAATAACTAGGTTATTGACATTTTTTACTCATCTTTTCAGCTATTGCTTCAAATTTGCTCAAATTATAATTGGAATTTTATAGTGTTTTATTTATATCATGTATTCTTCTTGTAATGATGTGGTAGTCTGGTTTCCGGAATCATGCAAATAGCTATAGATTTTGATTTTTCAAAATAAGAGTTTTAACGAATTCAGAATTTAAGCTTTTTTTGCGGAACTATATTTTCAAAATTCTGCATGTATTTTTATATCAAATAAGATTACCTCATTGTTAAAAGCCAAAATTAGTGTACCACAAGCTCCCTATATCTGTTTATAATCTTCTTACTACAAATAATGATATGACTTTTTGTTATTTAAATATAAAGTGAACAAATTATTTGTAAAATGTTGAAAATAAATATTAGCTCTTCATTATACATTTTATCTTTTCAATATTAAAATTGAGTTTGTTTAACCAGAAGATTATATAGATTCTCTATGTGTGTAATTCTCTCTTTTATTACTGAACTCTTAAAATGTATGATCTCTCCAGAAAAAAGTCAGCAGAAATGCACCCATTATGCTTTCCTTACTCTTCATGAGTGAAAATCTTTCCAACTGTATTTTCCCGTTGATCTGGTTCAAACTACCTAGAGGAAAACCTAAATGTCACAACTTACTTCTCTGCACTGTGCTGACAGCCTAAAATAAAGTGGTGACTAAGCAACTTCCTGTTTTCTCTTTATACCCCAATCGATCTCCTCTAGGACCTAGCATCTACATTATTTGAGTTAAAGGTCTTTAATCTCCTATTTCCCCACAGCAATCTACCAAGCCGCTCTTGTTTTTTTATGACACTGCTTTCATTATTCTTTTCTTTTTCTGCAAAAACGTTCAGCCCCACTTTACCACCCTCCCAACTTGTGATATGGGAACTTGGAACAAGATTAAAGTTCATGGACCTTGGCATTGAAGAATAATGTGAGACACAGATCATTGTCCCACAGAGAAAATCTTGATTTTTTTTCCTTACAAGCCAGAGATAGCCAAAATAGGTAGCATTTGGTTGAGCGTTTTTGGTAATATTTGATGGCATATTTAAGCTAGTTATTTCCTTAATTTTAGTGTTTTATTCGTTTCATTTTGACTTCATTTTCATATGTTAGAGTGCCTGCAAGTCAAACAAATAAAAAAAATTGGTATCTCTAAGAAAGTAGAGAATAAAATGTCCTTTGTGATATCATCTCATAATGATCATCAATCAAGGAAGACGCAGTGATCACCTTTGTTGCTTGGAGAGCCCCTGCAGTTCATAATATGAAAGTATATGAATGTTTAATGCGGGGAATCTTTGACGGCTTGGGTTTCTTTAAGATTGGATTTGTAATGATTAACACAATATACTAAGCATTCTCTTTACAATTTATGAAGATGAAAATAAAAATGAATAAACTATGGAAGCAATAATTACCAATATGGTGTCAGGAAATTTATGCTCACATATGACTTAGCTATGATGTGCTCTGGTTTCTTCAATATTGTAAACAGGCAAAACCACATCTTACCTTGTGTCCATTACCCTTTCCTTGTGTCTGTTGCCCTGCATTCCCCTGAAAACCAGTAAACTAGAAAGAACAGTGTACAACCTGCTGTCTATACTTTTTTTTTACCAGCCATTATTTAACCCAATGCAATCTAGCTCTTACTCCTCTGAACTGCTCTCACTAAAAAGGTCACCAACGACCACTTAGTTAATAGTTGAAGTAACATCTGGACTTAAGCTTTGCTCCATCATGCATTAGCTTTATGATCTTTGGCAATTTAGCTTTTTGTGCATTAGTTTTATTTTCTGTAAAACGGGAACAATAATAGTAACTACTCACAGTTTTTGTTGTTGTTGTTGTTTGTTTGTTTTTTAGATACAGGGTCTTATTTTGTTGCCCAGGCAGGCACGTGCAATAATAGTGGTGCAATTATTTGAGGCATTGTTAGTAGTGCAATCATAGCTCACTGCTGCCTCAAATTGCTGGGCTCAAGAGATCCACCCACATCAGCCTCCCATGCAGCAGAGACTACAAGCATATGCCACCTTAGCCAGCAACTTTTAAATTTTTTGTAGAGGCAGGGTCCACTGCTATCTTGCCCAGGCTGATCTCAAACTCCTAGGCTCAAGCGCTCCTCCTGTCTCAGTCTCCCAAAGTGCCTGATTACAGGTGTGATCACGGTTTTAATGTTAAGATTAAATATGATGATGTACATGTAGGACTTCACACCGTTTCTGACTCAATATGTTAGCAATTATTGTTCCTGACCTTTCTTGAACTTGCTGTGATGCTCCAAACTATTAAACCATTTCCTTTTTGAAACTCCTCTAGTTATCTTTTCTTTGTTTACATTAAACTACTGTTTTCTGCCACATTTTCTGTTTTTCTCATTGTTATGCATTTTTCTTGACGGCTTCTGTTTCTCCAACCATTTTGACATTACTATCAAGATAAATCTGCGTTAATATATTGGCTCTGCAACTTAAAAGTTTGATAAGCTTTAGGAGAGTTACTTAACCAATATTCAACATCCTTAAAGAAAAAAACTTTCAACCCAGAATTTTACATCTAGCCAAACTAAGCTTCATAAGCGAAGGAAAAATAAAATCTTTTGTGAACAAGCAAGCACTCAGAGATTTCATCACCACCAGGCCTGCTTTACAAGAGCTTCTGAAAGAACCACTACAAATAGAAAGGAACAACCAGTACCAACCTTTCTAAAAAATACCAAAAAATAAAGAACATCAACATAATTAAGAAATTGCATCAACTAATGGGCAAAACAGCCAGCTAACATTAAATGACAGTATCAAACACACATATATTGTTATTAATTCTAAATTTAAATCGACTAAATCCCCCAATCCAAAGACACAGACAGGCAAAAAAAGCCAAGACCCATTGGTATGCTACATCCAGATCCAATTCACATGCAAGGATACATAAAGACTCAAAACAAAGGGATGGTGAAAAATTTACCAACCAAATGGAGAGCTAAAATAAATAAATTGAAAGCAGGAGTTGCAATTTTTGCTGATAAAATAGATTTCAAAGCAACAAAGATCAAAAGAAGCAAAGAAGGATATTACATAAAGATAAAAGGATCAATGTAACAAGAAGAGCTAAAGATCCTAAACATATATGCACCCAATACAGAAATACCCAGATATATAAGACTTACAAAGAGACTTGGACCCCCACACAATAATAGCGGGAGACTTCAACATCAATATTAGATAGATCAATGAGACAGAATGTTAAAATCGATATCCAGGACTTGAAGTCAGATCTGGAACAAGTAGACTTAATTAACATTCATAAAGCTCTCCACTTTAAATACACAAAATATACACTCTTACCAGTACTATATCACACGTATTTACAGGTTTAAATGAAATAGTGGTTGGCTGCTTGTTAATTATTTTCTTCCCTCATTTTTTTTATGTCTCTATTATTAAACACAATTACAGGCATACCCAGTTTTAGACTGCATTCTAGCCCGGGCAATAAAGCAACACCCCTGTTCTCTCTCCCTCTTCCTCTTCCTCTTTCTTCCTTTCCTTTATTCTTTTTCTTTTCTTTTTTTATTCTTTTTCTTTCTTTCTCGCGTTCTTCCTCAAAAAAAAAGAGAGTTACTTAACCTTCCTGAACCTTTGTTTCTGCATCTGCAGAATGGGTATTTAACAGCACCCTCCTCCAAAATTTGTTATATAGATTATTAATCTACTAATAAATGTAACAAGTATTTATTGAGTGCTTACTCAGTGGCAAACATTGCTCTGGGTACAGCAGATACAGTCAGGTAGATACGACCTTTTTGTTTCATTAAGGAACTTGCAATCTAGTGTGGGGAAGAAACTGTAAGCAAATGTATAAGATAAATTAAGCTTGACATAAGGACTAAAAAGAAAGGAATCTGGTAATGTGCTAGAAAGTGGCTAGCACTCAATGCCAGCTGGTCAAAGTAGCCACAGGGTTTCTACCCTACAGAATCACAGAAGTGGAGCTGCCTAAGGCCTGAGGAGCCTACACTTTGCATCACCATGTCCAGGATGTGAGACATTGTGGGCGACGGAAGATCCGCCAGGGAGTCTTTGCCAGCAAGAGGGACCCAACCTGAAAGAGGGGATGGCCAGAAATAAAGAGAGACAGAAAAGCTAGGGTCTGGAGGACTGAAAAGGCAATGCCTAAACAGCGAATTTATTTTTGTCCAGGGTCTCAATATATACCTTAAGATCAAAGGTGTTTACACAATCAACAATAAGAGGAATGGAAATTTACAAAATATAAGATCACGAAAACAATCTTAAGCATGACATTCAAGGATCATAAAGGTGGGCAGGTGGTATGCTTTATCTGTTTTTACCAAAACACACTTGTGAATAACAGTACCTAAGAGTCACAAGCTAAGCCTTAAAGTCATTATCTAGGGTTCAAGGCAGTCATGCGGATAAAGTTAAACTTCTTGAAAAGTAAAGTCGTGACACAGATGCGATCCAAGATGGCCGTTTAGGAACAGCTCAGGATTGCAGCTCCCAGTGAAAGTGCAGAGGGTGAGTGGACGCCGCATTTTTATTGCCCACAGACTAGGAAATTCCTAGGCGGAGGAGCACCACAGGTCGCCAGTGTGGCTGTTTTGGCCGGCCTGGCTGTGCCAGCCGGCGCCGCTGCTTTGTCAGCGCCCCCGAGCAGCGGTTCTCCGTACAAAATACACCGGTCCGGGAGCCCTTTTGGCTGGCGATTGGAGCCACGAGAAGTCACCCATTCGTCTATTTAAAAAGGGGACAGAGCAGAGAACCAGGACAGTAGATTCCAGGGCAAAAAAAAACCAAAAGCACCACAAACCTCAGTGCCGCTTTTTAAGTCAGCGCAGTGAGTGGCCGCAGGGGAAAACAAACAGACCCCAGCGCCTCTTCAACAGGCGACTTAAAAAAGGCTCTGAGGCAGGGAGCCAGGTGATCAGGCTCGGCTGGTCCCACCCCCACAAAAGAACAGCAATCAGAAACTCTGGATTGAGAGTTTCACAGCAAGCGCAGCTGAACCAGGGATGGTCCAGCTTTGTGGGGGAGGGGCGTCCGCCATTAGCGAGGCAGCCCGCCACGACTGAGGTAGTCGGCCAATGCTGAGGCAGCCCGCCGTTGCCAAGGCAACCTGCCATTGCTGAAGCAGCCTGCCGTTGCTAAGGCAACCTGCCACAGCCGAGAGACTCTGCCTCAACAGAGGCGGGCCACCATCACCAAAGCAGTTCTAACTATACCCATATAAACAGGACTGCAGGGAAGTTCACTCGGCAGCTGGGCGGAGCCCACAGCAGCTCAGCAAAGCCTCTACAGGCAGACAGTGACTAGGCTGCCTCCTTGCTGGGCAGGGCAGGTCTGAAGGAAAAAAAAAGAAGGCAGCAGCATAACGGAAGCTCATAAATAAAGCCCTAAATCCCTGGGACAGAGCACCTGGGAACAAAAAGCAGTTTATGAGTTCTGCTGCAGCAGACCTAAATGTACCTGCCCAGCAGCTCTGAATCAACAATAGAGCTCACAGCTCACCATTTGAGCTCCTATAAAGAAGAGACCGTCTCCTCAAGCAGCTCCCTGACCCTATATATCCAAAGAGACACCTCATAAAGGAGAGATCAGATTGACATTAGACGGGTATCCTTCTGGGACAAAGATAGCAGAAGAAGAAAACTGGTAACAACCCTTACTGTTCAGCAGCTGCTGCAGGTGAACCCCAGGCAAGCAGGGCCTGCAGTGGACCTCAGCAGACCTACAGCAGAGGGGCCAGACTGTCAGAAGGAAAACCAAGAAACAGAAATAACCTCATCATCAACAAACAGAACATCAATCTGAAAGATTTGAGACCCAATCTGAAAGCCAGCAACTACAAAGTCAACAGGTGCATAAATCCTCAAAGATGGGAAGAAACCAGCACAAAAAGGATGAAAACACCCGAAACCAGAACACCTCTCCTCCTACAAGGGATCACAACTCCTCACCAGCAAAGGAACAAGGTTGGATGGAGAACGAGTGTGATGAAATGACAGAATCAGACTTCAGAAGGTGGGTAGTAAGAAACTTCTGTGAACTTAAAGAACATGTTCTAACCAAATGCAAAGAAAATAAGAACTTGAAAAAAGATTTGACAAATGCTAACAAGAATGGACAAAATAGAAAGGAATATAAGTGAATTGATGGAGCTGAATAACGCAACACGAGAACTTCACGAAGCATGCACAAGTATCAACAGCCGAATGGACCAAGCAGAAGAAAGGATATCAGAGGTCGAAGATCAACTCAATGAAATAAAACAGGAAGGCGAGACTGGAGAAAAAAGGGTAAAAAGGAATGAACAAAATCTCCAAGAAATGTGGGAATATGTGAAAAGACCTAATCTACGCTTGATAGTTGTATCTGAATGTGACGAAGAGAATGAATCCAAGCTGGAAAATACTCTTCAGGATATTATCCAGGAAAACTTCCCCAACCTAGCAAGGCAGGCAAACATTCAAGTCCAGGAAATACAGAGAACACCACAAAGATATTCGTCAAGAAGAGCAACCCCAAGGCACATAATCATCAGATTCACCAGGGTCGAAATGAAGGAGAAAATACTAAGGGCAGCCAGAGAGAAAGGTCGGGTTACCCATAAAGGGAAGCCCATCAGACTCACAGCAGATCTCTCAGCAGAAACCCTACAAGCCAGAAGAGAATGGGGGCCAATATTCAACATCCTTAAAGAAAAGAACTTTCAACCCAGAATCTCCTATCCAGCCAAACTAAGCTTCATAAGTGGAGGAAAAATAAAATCCTTTGGGAACATGCAAGTACTCAGAGATTTCGTCACCACCAGGCCAGCTCTACAAGAGCTCCTGAAAGAGGCTCTACACATATAAAGGAACAACAAGTACCAGCTCAACTAAAGGGCAAAATGGCACTAAAATTGCAGTATCAAATTCGCACATAACAATATTAACCCTAAATGTAAATGGACTAAATGCCCCAATCAAAAGACACAGATTGGCTAATTGGACAAAAAGCCAAAACCCATCAGTGTGCTGTATCCAGGAAACCCATCTCACATTCAAGGATACACAAAGACTCAAAATAAAGGGATGGAGGAAGATTTACCAAGCAAACGGAGAGCAAAAAAAGCAGGAGTTGCAATTCTCATCTCTGATAAATTAGACTTTAAAGCAACAAAGATCATAAGAGAAAAAGAGGGACATTATGTAATGGTAAAAGGATCAATGCAACAAAAAGAGCTAAGAATCCTAAATATATACGCACCCAATACAGGAGCACCCAGTTACATAAGGCAAGTTCTTAATGACTTACAAAGAGACTTAGACTCCCACACAATAATAGTGGGAGACTTTAACACCCCATTGTCAATATTAGATTAACCAGGCAGAAAATTAACAAGGGCATCCAGGACTTGAACTAAGACCTGGACCAAGCAAACCTAATAGACATTTACAGAACTCCCCACCCCAAATCCACAGAATATACATTCTTCTCAGACCACATCACACCTACTCTAAAATTGACCACATAATTGGGAGTAAATCACTCCTCAGCAAATGCAAAAGAACGGAAATCGTAACAAACAGTCTCTCAGACCACAGTGCAATCAAGTTAGAACTCAGTATTCAAAAACTAACCCAGAACCGCACAGCTTCATGGAAACTGAACAACTTGCTCTTGAATGTTGACTGGATAAACAATGAAATGAAGACAGAAATAAATATGTTCTTCGAAACCAACGAGAATGAAGACACAACATACCAGAATATCTGGGACACATTTAAAGCAGTCTCTAGAGGAAAATATATAGCAATAAGTGCCCACATGAGAAGCAAGAAGAGATCAAAAATTGACACCCTATCGTCAAAACTGAAAGAGCTAGAGGAGCAAGATCAAAAAAACTCAAAGTCTAGCAGAAGACAAGAAATAGCTAAGATCAGAGCAGAACTGAAGGAGATAGAGACACAAAAAAACCCTTCAACAAATCAATAAATCCAGGAGCAGGTTTTTTGAAAAGATCAACAAAATAGACAGACCACTAGCCAGATTAATAAAAAAGAAAAGAGAGAAGAACCAAATTGATAATAAAAAACGATAAAGGGGATATCACCACAGATTCCACAGAAATTCAAACCATCATCAGAGATTATTACAAACAACTCTATGCACATAAACTTATAAACCTGGAAGAAACAGATAAATTCCTGGACACTTGCCTCCTCCCAAGCCTAAACCAGGAAGAAGCCGAAACACTGAACAGACCCATAACAAGGTCTGAAGTTGAGGCAACAATTAAGAGCTTACCATCCAAAAAAAGCCCAGGTCCAGACGGGTTCACAGCTGAATTCTACCAGACATACAAAGAGGAGCTGGTACCATTCCTTCTGAAACTATGCCAAACAATACAAAAAGAGGGAATTCTTCCCAAATCATTTTATGAGTCCAACATCATCCTGGTTCCAAAACCCAGCAGAGACTCAACAAGAAAAGAAAACTTCAGGCCAATATCCATGATGAACATAGATGCAAAAACCTTCAATAAAATACTGACAAGCCGATTGCAACAGCACATCAAAAATCTTATCCACCATGATCAAGTAGGCTTCATCCCGAGGATGCAAGACTGGTTCAACATATGCAAGTCTATAAAGGTAATTCACCACATAAACAGAACCAAAGACAAAAACCACATGATTATCTTAATTGATGCAGAGAAGGCCTTTGACAAAATTCAACAGCCCTTTATGCTAAAAACCCTCAATAAGCTAGGTATTGATGGAACGTATCTCAAAATCATAAAAGCTATTTATGACAAACCAACAGCCAATATCATACTGAAGGGGCAAAAACTGGAAGCATTCCTCTTGAAATGTGGCACCAGACAAGGATGCCCGCTCTCACCACTGCTATTCAACATAGTATTAGAAGCTCTAGCCAGAGCAATCAGGCAAGAAAAAGAAGTAAAGGGCATTCAAATAGGAAAGGAGGAAGTCAAATTGTCTCTATTTGCAGACAACATGATTGTATATCTAGAAGACCCCATCGTCTCAGCCCCAAATCTCCTGAAGCTGATAAGCAAGTTCAGCAAAGTCTCAGGATACAAAATCAGTGTGCAAAAATCACATGCATTCCTCTACACCAATAACAGACTTAAAGAGAGCCAAATCAAGAACAAACTTCCATTCACAATTGCCACAAAGAGAATAAAATACCTAGGAATACAACTAACAAGGGAATGTAAAGGACCTCTTCAAGGAGAACTACAAGTCACTGCTCAATGAAATAAGAGAGGACACAAACAGATGGAGAAACATTCCATGTTCATGGTTAGGAAGAATCAATATTGTGAAAATGGCCATACTGCCCAAAGTAATTTACAGATTCAATGCTATCCCCATCAAGCTACCAATGACCTTCTTCGCAGAACTGGAAAAAACCACCTTAAACTTCCTATGGAACCAAAAGAGGGCCCGCATAGCCAAGTCAATTCTAAGCAAAAAGAACAAAGCAGGAGGCATCACACTACCAGACTTCAAACTATACTACAAGGCTACAGTAATCAAAACAGCATGGTACTGGCACCAAAACAGAGATATAGACCAATGGAACAGAACAGAGGTCTCAGAGGTACCACAACATATCTACAACCATCTGATCTTTGACAAACCACACAGAAACAAGCAATGGGGAAAGGATTCCCTGTTCAATAAATGGTGTTGGGAAAGCTGGCTAGCCATGTGCAGAAAGCAGAAACTGGACCCCTTCGTGACACCTCACACTAAAATTAACTCCAGTTGGATTAAAGACTTAAATGTAAGACCTAACACCGTATAAACCCTAGAAGAAAATCTAGGCAAAACCATTCAGGACATAGGTGTAGGCAAGGACTTCATGACCAAAACACCAAAAGCATTGACAACAAAAGCCAAAATAGACAAATGGGACCTAATCAAACTCCACAGCTTCTGCACAGCAAAAGAAACAGTCATTAGAGTGAATCGGCAACCAACAGAATGGGAAAAAATTTTTGCAGTTTACACATCTGACAAAGGGCTGACATCCAGAATTTACAAAGAACTAAAACAGATTTACAAGAAAAAAACTAACAAGCCCATTCAAAAGTGGGCAAAGGATATGAACAGACACTTTACAAAAGAAGACATACATGAGGCCAACAAACATATGAAACAATGCTCATCATCACTGGTCATCAGAGAAATGCAAATCAAAACTACATTGAGATACCATCTCACGCCGGTTAGAATGGCGATCATTAAAAAATCTGAAGACTACAGATGCTGGAGAGGATGTGGAGAAATAGGAACACTTTTGCACTGTTGGTGGGAGTGTAAATTAGTTCAACCATTGTGGAAGACAGAGTGGCGATTCCTCAAGGACCTAGAAATAGAAATTCCATTTGACCCAGCAATCCCATTACTGGGTATATATCCAAAGGATTACAAATCGTTCTACTATAAGGACACGTGCACACGAATGTTCATTGCAGCACTGTTTACAATAGCAAAGACCTGGAACCAACCCAAATGCCCATCGATGATAGACTGGATAGGGAAAATGTGGCACATATACACCATGGAATATTATGCAGCCATCAAAAATGATGAGTTTAGGTCCTTTGTAGAGACATGGATGAACCTGGAAACCATCATTCTCAGCAAACTGACAGAAGAGCAGGAGATCAAACACCACATGTTCTCACTCATAGGTGGGTGTTGAACAATGAGAACACATGGACACAGGGAGGGGAGCACTACACACTGGGGTCAGTTGGGGGGAAATAGGGGAGGGACAGTGGGGGTTGGGGAGCTGGGGAGAGATAGCAAGGGGAGAAATGCCAGATGTAGGTGATGGGGAGGAAGGCACAAATCACACTGCCACGTGTGTACCTATGCAACAATTTTGCATGTTCTTCACATGTACCCCAAAACCTAAAATGCAATAAAATGAATAAATGGGGAAAAAAAAAAAGAAAAGTAAAGTCGTAAAGGTCATGCAGAGGTCTAGTGGAGACATAATGTCTGACAAAAACACACGACCCTTGCCCAAGCATCATTGCAGTCAAAAGTAGAAACTTTTGTAACATCAGTCTTTTCTTAGTTCCTTCTTTCCCACAGCTCGACTGCCTCCAGCAGGAAACTGTGTTTGGGCTCAAGCTCACCGTCTGGTGAGGCCCATGCATTAGGGGGCCTTAAACAGGAGCGATCCCCACAAGACATGGAGTCAAAGGGGATTATTTTGGAGCTTTATGATTTAATGAGTGCCCTGTCAAGTTTCAGAGTTGCATGGGGCCTCTGGCCCCTTTGTTTTGTTTAATTTCTCCCATTTGGAAGGGGGACATTTACCCAATGCCTGTATTCCATTGTATCGTAAAAGTAACCAACTCTTTTTTTTTTTTTTACAGGCTCATAGGTAGAAGGGTTTTGCTTTGTATATAATGAGACTCCAGACTTCAATTTTGAGTTAATGCTGGAATGAGTTAAGACTTTGGGAGACTTTTGGGAATGCGTGATTGGTTTTAAAATGTCAGAGGACATGAGATATGGGAGGAACGAGGGGTGAAATGATATGGTTAGGTTCCATGTTCCCACACAAATCTCTTCTCATGTTGTAATCCCCATGTGTCAAGGAAGAGACCTGGTGGGAGGTGACTGCATTTTGGGGGCTGTTTCCCCCATGCTATTCTCATGATAGTGAGGGAATGCTCACAAGATCTAATCATTTAAAAGTGGCAGTTGCCCCTTAACTCTTTCTCTCCTCTGCCACCAAATAAAATCACGCCTTGTTTCTTCTTTGCCTTCTGCCATGATTGTAAGTTTCCTGAGGCATCCCAAACCATATGGAACTATGAGTCAATGAAACCTTTTTCTTTGTAAATTATTCAATGTTGGGTAATACTTTATAACAGTGTGAAACATACTAATACACCCTACATTATGTTTTTGTTTCCTTTGTCGAAGATCGGTGGCTGTATTTGGCTTTATTTTTGTAATATCTGTTCTGTTCCATTGGACTTCATGCCTATTTTTATACCAGTACCATGCTGTTTTGGTAACTATAGCCTTGTAGTATAGTTTGAAGTTGGGTAATGTGATGCCTTCAGGTTTGTTCTTTTTACTTAGTCTTGCTTTGACTATGTAAGCCCTCTTTTGGCTCTACATAAATTTAAGAATTTTTTTCTAGTTTTGTTAAGGATAATGATAGTATTTTGATGGAAATTGCATAGAATTTATAGATTGCTTTTGGCAGTATGGTCATTTTCACACTATTGATTCTACCCATCAATGAGCATGAGATGTGTTTCTATTTTTTTGTGTCACCTGTGATTTCTTTCAGCAGTGCTTTGTAGTTTTCCTGTAGAGATATTTTACATCAGTAGTTAGGTATATTCCTAAGTATTTTTTTTTTGCAGCCTTTGTAAAAGAAATTGAGTTATTGATTTGATTCTCAGATTGGTCATTGGTGATGTAGAGTAGTGCTACTGATTTGTATACATTGATTTTGTAACCTGAGACTTAACTAAATTTATTTTTCAGATCTAGGAGGTTTTTGAACACATCCTTGAGATTTTCTTGGTGTACAATCATATCTTTAGCAAACAGCAACAGTTTGACTACCTTTTTAATTATTTGGATGTCCTTTCTTTCTCTCTTTTATCTGATTGCTCTGGCTAGAAATTCCAGTAATATGTTGAATAGAAGGGGTGTGAGTGGGCATTTTTGTCTTATTCTAGTTCTCAGGAGAAATGCTTTCAACTTTCGCCTATTCAGTATAATGTTGGCTTTGGATTCATCAAAGATGGTTTTTGTTACATTTAGATATGTCACTTCTATGCTGATTTGCTCAGGGCTTTAATAATAAAGGTTGCTCAAGTTTGTCAAATGCTTTTTCTGCATCTATTGAAGTGATCACATGATATTTGTTTTTAATTCTGTTTATTGACTTGCATATGTTAAACCAACCCTGCATCCCTGGTATAAAACCCACTTGATCGTGGTCAATTATCCTTTTGATATCTGTTGGACTTAGTTAGCTTGTATTTCATTGAGAATTTTTGCATCTATGTTCAAAAATATTGGGAATATTGGTTTGTATTTTTTTTAATGTTTTTTCCTGGTTTCAGTATTAGGGTGATCCTGGCTTCACAGAATAACTTAGAGACAATTCCTTATTTTCCTGTCTTGTTGCAATAATTTCAGTAGGATTGGTACTTAGTACCAGTTCTTTAAATGTCTGATATAATTCAGCTGTGAGTCTATCTAGTCCTGGGCTTTTTTTTTTTTTTTTTTGGCAATTTCTTTTAAATTACTGTTTCAGTATTCCTGCTTGTTATTTGTCTGTTCAGCATTTCTATTTCTTCCTGGTTTAATTTAGGAAGATTGTTCATTTCCAAGAACTTATTCATCTCTTTTAGGATTTCTAGCTTGCGCACACAAATGTCTTCATAGCAGCATTGAATAATCTATTGTATTTCTGCGGTATTGATTGTAATATCATCGCTTTTACTTCTAATTGAGCTCATTTGGATCTTCTTTCTTCTCTTCATGGTTTATCTTGCTAATGGTCTATTAATTTTGTTTATTCTTTTAAAAAACCAATATTATGTTTTATTTATCTTGGGTATTTTTGTTTCAATTTTCAGTTCTGCTCTGATCTTTGTTTTTTCTCCTTTTTTTCTGCTCTGTTTGGATTTGGTTTGTTCTTCTTTCTCTAGTTCATTGATGTGTGAGCTTAGATTGTCTATTTGTGCTCTCTCATACTTTCTGATGTAAACATTTAATGCTATGAATAGTCCATTTAGCACCACTTTTGCTGTATCCCAGAAGTCTTGATAGGTTAGTCACTATTATTATTCAGTTCAAAGAATTTTTTTAATACCAATCTTGATTTTATTGTTTACCCAAAGATCATTCAGGAGCAGGTTATGTAATTTCCATGTATTTACATAGTTTTGAGGGTTCCTTTTTGAGTTAATTTCCCATTTTATTCCATCATGATCTGAAAGAGTACTTGATATAATTTCTATTTTCTTACATTTATAAAGACTTGTTTTGTGGCCTATCACATGGTCTATCTTGGAGAATGTTTCATGTTCTGATGAAAATAATGTATAATCTGCAGTTGTTGGGTAGAATGTTCTGTAAATGTATGTCAAGTTCATTTGCTCTAGGGTGTAGTTTAAGTCTATTGTTTCTTTGTTCATTTTCTGTCTTGATAGCCTATCCAGTATTGTCAGTGGAATACTGAAGTTCCTCACTATCATTGTGTTGTTGTCTATCTCATTTCTTAGGTCTAAGAGCAATTGCTTTATAAATTTGTGAGGTACCGTGTTAGGTGTTTATATATATATATATATATATATATATATATATATATATATATATATGTGATATTTTCCTATTGAACTAACACTTTTATCATTATATAATGTTTCTATTTTGTTAACTGTTGTTGCTTTAAAGTCTGTTTTGTCTGATTTAAGAATAGCTACTCCTACTAGGTTTTGGTTTATGTTTGCATGGAATATCTCTTTCCATCCCTTAACCTTAAACTTATGTGAGTCTTGATGTGTTAGGTAAGTCTCTTGAAGACTGAAGATACTTGGTTTGTGGATTTTTACCTATTCTGCTATTCTGTATTTTATAAATGGAGTATTTAGACCACTTACATTCAAAGTTAGTATTGAGATGTGAAGTACTGATTTATTCATCATGCTAGTCTTTACCTGAATTCTTTTTGTTGTTGTTGTGTTATTTTTGTATAGGCCTTGTGACATTTATGCTTTAAGCAGGTCCTATTTTGAAGTTTTGTTTCAAGACTTAAAACTTTTTTTTAGCATTTCTTGCAGTGCTGGCTTGGTAGTGGTAAATTATATCAACATATATTTATCTGAAAAATATTTAGTCTCTTCTTTTTTTAGAAAGCTTAGTTTCAATGGATACAAAATTATTGGCTAATAATTATTCTGTTTAAGCAGACTAAAGATAGGACCCCAATTCCTTCTGGCCTGTAGGTTTTCTGATAAAAAAAAATGTGCTGTTAATCTGCTACATTTTCCTTCATAGGTTACCTGATGCTTTTGCCTCCCAGCTCTTAAAATTATTTTCTTCATCTTGACTTTAGATAACCTGATGCGTATGTGCCTAGGCGATGATATTTTTATAATGAATTTCCCAGGTATTCGTTGAACTTCTTGTAGTTGGATGTCTAGATCTCCAGCAAAGCCAGGGGAGTTTTCCTTGATTATTCCCTAAAATAAGTTTTTCAAACTTTTAGATTTCTCTTCTTTTTCCAGGAACACCAATTATTCTTAGGTTTGGTCATTTAACATAATCCTAAATTTCTTGGAAGCTTTGTTAATTTTGTAAATTATTTTTTCTATGTCTTTGTCTGATTGGGTTGATTTGGAAGCCTTGTCTTGAAGCTCTGAAGTTTTGTCTTCTACTTGTTAGATTCTATTGCTAAAACTCTTCAGTGTATTTTGGATTTTTCTAACTGTGTTTTTTGTTTCCAGAAGTTGTGATGGTCTTTTCTTTATGATATCTACTTCTCTGGATACTTTTTATCCATATCCTGTAATTTAAACAAAAACTATTTAATATGGTTTTCACCTTTCTCTCCTTGAGTAGGTTAGTAATAAACTTTCTGATATTTTTTTAAATCTGGCATTCAGAAATTTTTCGGGTTTGTATCAGGGTAGTACTGGTCTCAGAATGAGTTTCAAAGTATTCCCTCTCCATCTATTTTTCAGAATAATTTGAGTAAGATTTGCATTGGTTCTTTAAAAGTTTGGTAAAATGCAGCAATGAAGCCAGTGAGTCTTTAGTTTTTCTTTGGGATATTTTTATTATGGTTTTTGTCTCATTGCTTGTTATTGGTCTCTTCAGGTTTTGAATTTCTCATGGTTCAATCTTGATAGGTTGTATCAAGATTACTGAAGAGCTAGTGTAATATTCTGCGGGTGTTATAAAAACTCGTTTTGTCATATTACCAGAATTACTTTCCTTCTAATTTGTGTAGACTATTTCAGTGGAAAGATCTGAAACTCAAGAGTTGCTGGTCAGATTCTTTTGTTCCTTAATTTGGTGCCACCCCCCTCCCCCTAGGGATGGGTCTTCCTAAGAGCCAGAATGCCAATGATTGTTATTTCCCTTCTGCGTCCAGTCACCCAGTGGGCTAAAAGGCTCAGGGCAGGTGCCTAAGAATG